TTGGATGTAGAGTAATAAAACCTTGCCTATAATTTTAGACATTACTCTTTATATTATGTGGCTTTTATAAAAGTGGGGATAACATAGAGAACAATGCACACTTCAGCTGTACATTGATTATCAGAATCTGGCAGCATATATGTGTTTAAAAACTCAATCTCTAAATAAGTTGAAGAGGCAGTGCATGCTTATTGCCTCCCTTCTTGAAATGTATGCCTCTGCCTGTGCTACAAGCACAGCTATTCAGAAGAGAATTTGGTTACTAAGTGGAATGCAGAAAAATATTTGATTTTACTTGTTGGGGCATTCTGTTGTCACTGTTAACCTTTGTCATTGACTTATCAGGTCATATCCTAGGGACTAACTAAATATACAGATCTTCTGAGATTGGTATAATTAGAAGGGCTGTTTTAAAAACTTGCTCAATCCAGGCAGTTGATAGCGATTGGAACATTCACTGCATTCCACAACCCCAATAAAATGTTGCAGTTGGAATGCATCTGGAGACTAGTGTACATCTTTCCTATATGTGTCTAGTTCCCAAGATCCATTAAATGACAGTCAGGCTTAAAAAAGTTTGAGGTTAGGATCTAACAAGCCTAATACAGATTATATGCATATCATGGTTTAGTATGATATATCAACATGGACTACACTTCGCTAATATAAGCTAGCAAAACACCTATTATATGCTCTGCGTCTTCCGGTTTGCCAGGCTTCGGCGACGGCAGGGATTTGCAATCCTGCGCGATACCTGCCGTGCTAGCTGTCTTGGTGCCTCCGATCCCGACGGGTCTGGAGGATAAGGCTGCCCTGTAGAGGCAGCCGAAGACGGGGGGGATCCGGATAGGGGTTTGGGGGTATCGCAGACCCCCTCCCCAGCCAGCAAAACCCCCTTTTCTCAAGGCGGTGGAGCGGCGGTCTGTAATGGTCACCACAAAGAAGCCGGCAGCTGGACAAGACTGTGCAGGAGGAAGAAGGAGAAAGTTTTAAAGTGAAAGTTTTTTGGCTGAACCGGGACTTTTAAGATACATTTAATATCCTGAAAGCCACGATCTTTTGGATGATACATTGTTTCCAGTGGAGGTTTTTAAAGCAGCTAATGGAAGTGCTGAAAGGGAAAGTTACTCTCCCTCCCTTACGGAGTTAACAAATGGACATTGAAAAACCTGCTTTTTTATAGAAGGTAAAAATTCAAAGCTCTTTGTTACAAGTGGGAAGGGAGAGGACTGGGAAAAAAAAACTTATATCAAGATTTTGTTGGAGGAGATGCCTTGAAGATTTAGAGACTAGAAGTTAACTGCAATAAGGCTTTAAAATACAGATTGGGGTTTTTTTTCTACCTGATATTACCCCAGGAAGAGAAATTGCAAAGGGAAGAACTTTGTGCTCTGTTTGGACTGCTTGATGACTCTGGGACTTTGGGGAACTGTTTTAAGTTTTGAAATATCTTGGTTGGTTTAACAAGAAGAGGAAAAAGAAAAAGAAGAACAAAAGGTTTATAATGGCTTTACCTCTTGATGAACTAAAAAAAGAAGATGGAAAAACAAGGAAAGAAGGCAAGGACGCTGTGGGAGAAGTCTTTCGCTTTTTAGAAATGGCGCTTGCTATTTACCAGCAAACTCAACAACAGGTGGAGGAAGCAGAAGAAGAAGAAGAAGCCATTTTTAATGAATCAAAAAGTTTGATCAAGAAAGAAAAGAGAAAGAGAGGAAGGAAAAGGAAGGACTTAAGACCTAAAAAAACACCTAAGAAAGAGAAAAATAAGATGCAAAATCAATACAATGTTAGAAAGCAAAAGAAAAGAGGAATACAACAGAGAGGGGAAGCTAAAAGGCGGAGGTTAGGAGAGGAGGGGGTAAAAAGGCTAGGTGGGTTAAGAAAGAAAGGGAAAAGGGGGGGGAAAAGCCACAAAGGTATAAAACAAGATGGAAAAAAGCAATTTTTTTTAGGGATAAAGGGTAATGCATAATTTAAATAAAAAAAACGATTCTGCAAAGTACATATGATAGTATTGTAGTATTTGTATTAGAAATAGAAAATTAGAATTTTATAAGATCTAATAAAAGATTAAAATATTAAAATGTTTAATAATGATAGATTTTAAGTTTTAATAAAATATTAAAGGAAATGTTTAAAATATTTAGTTTAATTATAGAGTTTAATGGGCTATTGTTTTGATGTTATGACAGATTTATTATTGTAGCATTTGTTTTTGAAATAGACAATTGGAATGTTATAAGATTTAATAAATTAAAATATTAAAATGTTTAAGATTTAATGATAGATTTTAATATTTAATTATGTATTTAACTACTTTATAGACTTATTCTTTTTTTTCTTAAAATTTAGTAGGTAGAATGTACTAAGCAGAATCAGACTGGGATCTAGGTGTTATTTTAAATGTTAATCAAGGGAAACGATAGAAAGGCATCATACTCCGATTAGTGATTTCAGGAGAAATTTTCTTTTTTTTATTATTGAGAATGAGATAAATGGTTAATTGGAAAAGAATGGACAAAAGATACAAGTATATTGATTTAAAGTAAGATGAAATATATAAAATAGAATTAAGAAGATTGAAAAGCGGGGAGGAGTTATATAGAAGATATAGAATGGTAAATAAGATAGGTAATGGTATATAAGATGAGCATGAATTTAATTGGAGTCCATACAAAGAGAGGTAATCTGGGGCCAAGCCACTTTCTAAAAAGAAGTTTTATGTTTTTGTGTTTTGTGTGTTTATGTTTGACTGAGAATTAATAAAACCTTGGAGGAATGTCAGATAAGAATAATTGTAAATAAGTCAGAGGAAAATATAAATATGATGACTATATAACAGATAAATATAGAAAAGAAATGTAATTGAATAAGAGTAAAGAGAAATAATGAGAAATTTGTTAAAAGATATTTATGTGTCCATATGGAAATGGGGTAAATTAGAATTATGCGGTATAAAATAATGTTTTATCTGCCTTGTAAAGATTTACAATGGAAAGAGGTTTTATGTTTTTAATGTTTAATGATGTCTTGTTTGTCTTTAAAATTAATAAAATTTGTTTTAAAAAAAACACCTATTATATGCTCTGTACACCATCAAATGTCATAAGAAGATGGCTTTATTGACACAACTTGCAGAGGTTTCTGATATCTGATTTCCTAAAAAGCTGAAAAACAAATACACAAGACTTTTTTTAGTGCTGCCCAGTATGCAGTGAAACCCAGTCCATTTATTTTGGCCAAATCCTGTAAGTATCTTTTAAGGCTATCATTGAAAATAAATATACAGTAAGTGTTGATTTCAAAATTAGTGCAATATCAAATTCAAGGACTGAATTTATGTAACATTTTATAGAGAGATTTGTGTGGATCACCCCCTCCCAGAATTTAATAATTATTTTTTTATACTTTATTGAAAGATCCCAAGAGGAAGAAAAAAGATTTAGCTTGTATGTAATTATATTTTAAACTTTCATCATAATTTTAGAATTTCATAATAAAGGAAGTATGTGTTATTGGAAGTCCAGGAAAGAAAAAAGAGCTTCATTGAATGTGAATATATTTTACAATTCCATAATTAAGAAATTATCAACAATTGTCCTTCAAGTCTGGCTTAATTATTTTGTCATTTTCCTAGGCTGCACAATCAGTGCTGATTTCTCTTTTTGAACTCAATACTCCTGAATTTACAATGCTGTTGGGTGCTTTACCAAAAACATTTCAAGATGGTGCCACAAAGTTGCTTCACAGTCACCTCCGGAATACAGGCAGTGGGGGACAGGTATATTTATAATCATTTACAGTTGCTAGAGATAATTTCCATTAAACTATGCTGAATTAACACACACACACACACACACATATATATATATGTATTTAGTAGCCCTCTATTATTGTCATTTTTATGTTAGTTTTCAAATGGGAACTTTGAGTCTTTATTCTAGAAAAATGCATGAAGCCTTCTTCAGAGATGTTTATATCATTGTAAGGATAAATACAACAATGCTCAAAAGACTCATGAGGAGCATGTGTGTGTTTTACAGGGTCCCATGGGAAGCCCATTAACAAGGCCTGTTCCACGCTCACCAGCTAGTTGGTCTAGCCCCATCACTTCACCAACCAATACATCCCAGAACACATTATCACCAAGGTAAGATACTAAATATTAATTTAGAAACAGCACTGACTCTCGGCCAACAAAAACCTTTCACTGATAAAGATGAATTTGTTTCCAGCAGAAGAGAAGGCAGAATGGCAGAAATTGTTTTTCCCTGCAGAAACAGCCATTTCACAGAGTTGTGCATTTAAATAACATTAAGGTTTCTACCAATTTAAATGCAAATCTGAATTAACTACAACTTAATTCAAGTTTAAGAAAAATATAGTGACATAATATTTAAAACATTAATTCCACAAAAATCATATTTCCGCTTACCACGTAATTCATTTATTTTGAAATGTTATGTTTAATTTTATATAGTTTGTAAAAAAAATTGTTCCTTTCCTTTTCTCCTTTTCTTTCTTTCATAGAACTACTTTCAAATATCTTGTTAAAAGAAAAATACAAATGTGTCTCATTATTTATCTGGTTACCCTTGTAAATCCCCATTATAAAAAGCAGAATATTTTCTTCCATACTTGCTCTTTTATGATCATATTTTATTTCTTAAGTATTAACCCCATCTTAAACTCTGTTACAATTGCTGCTCCTTGTCTAATTTCTAATCTAGCAATGCTTTGCCACAGCTCAAAGAGAGACGTGTGTGTGTGTGTGTGTGTGTAAGTATTCATTAGAGAATCATCAATTGCTGAAATTAAAACTGCTTCAAAATATTTTCATTGCTGATATTTAACAGTGCATTTGATTACGATTCTGAAAATATGAATTCAGAAGATATATATAGTTCTCTCCGTGGAGTGACTGAAGCAATTCAGAACTTCAGCTTCCGCAGTCAGGAGGATATGAATGAACCTATGAAATGGGATTCAAAAAAAGAAGATGGTGATTCAGTAAGTATTATGGAAAAATCTGTAGATTGAGAAATTATTCAGGGTCCATACTGATATATGCACTTAGGTGCTTGTTTTTTTCAGCCCATATACAAAAAAACAAAAGTTGCATGTTCTTTGAGGTAAACATTACCTGAAATAACTGGGAATTAATTCTAATAAAAAAATATTGTGGAGACATAATTACAAGAGTAGTGAAGAGAGCCCTAGACCTAAAATTGTTCTCATTTTGAACCTCTTTGTGCTGGTAAAATATTCCTTTATATGTTTACTTTTACTGGCAATATCTGTTGATATGAAAGAGGAGAGAGTGAGAGAATTTAAGGACAAACAAGCTTAAAATTGAAAAAATATATTTGCATCAAATGAATTTTAGAATCATAGAAAACTGATGACAGAAAAAGACCTAGTACTCCTTCGAGTACTTTGAATTTATTTTTTTCTTCTTAATTTATGTATTATTATTATATTTTTTCTTAATTTTTGACAGATGATGAATGAATGTTTGTTTATCCCAAGCATGTTTAAACTTAGTTATTGGTGATTGACTCATTATTTCCACTGGAAGTTGGTTCTAAGATTTTACTACTCTTTCTGTGAAATAATACATTCTAACTTTACTTTTGAACTTACCTCCTATAGGTTTGAAGTAATACTTCTATGTTCTTGATTTTTGATTAATACTGAAAATATTGTCTTCTAGAATCTTCACACCCTTAATATATTTAAAGGTTTCAATCATGCCCCCCGCTTTCCCTTCTGTCCTGCTGGCTGTATATATTCTTTCCTCCAATCTTTCTTGATACATTTTGTCCCTCAGACCTTGCACCATTATAACTGGATATAGTATTCCAAATGGGTCTGACTAAAGCTCTATATAGTGGGGTTAGAACCTTGTTTTTCTTGCTGGTGATCCCTCTAGCAATGTACGCTGTTTGCTCATTTTGTAGTCATCTGCTATGAACATACCTAAATCCTTTTCTTCTGTTGTTTCTTCTGCTTATACCCCCAATATTCTGCCAGAGGATTGTTTTTCATTAGGTACATGATCTTACAGTTAGAAACATTGCACTACAGTTTCCACATTTTCCACAATTTGCCAGGAATATCAAATCAATTCTGTGTTACAGATACCCCCAGGAACATCAACTCTATTCCACACTTTGGTTTTATCAGTAAAAAGTCAAGCCGAGCAAGTGCTAGCAATTTTTCTATTATATCACTTACAAATACATTGAAGGGGAAAGGGCCTAGGATTGAGCCTTGTGGTATAGCGCTTGTGACTGATCCCTTTTCAAACAGTGCTCCATTAATACTCTGGGATCTATCCCTGAGCCAACTTCTAATCCACTGAATCACCCAGCAGTTAAGCTCCAGCCTGTAAAGCCTTTTTGTGAGTTCATTATGTAGAACTATATCAAATGCTTTGCTAAAATCCAAATAGGCTATGTCCACAGCACAGCGTCATATTTGTGACATTTCTATGGACATAGCCTGTGGACATTTGTGATATAGTTTTTAAAAAGTTAATCAGATTAGTTTGACATGAACTGGACATTAACTGCCATCAGTAAAACAATGCTGTTTTGGGTCCGTTAAATTGTGTCCTTTTTTTAAAAAAAGACTACAGCTACTATAGTTAAGCTCAATAGCCTATACAGTTTCCATATTCTTTCCTATTCCCCTTCTTGTGGATAGGTACAATATTAGTTGTTTGCCAATCTTGGGAAACTTCACCTGTTAAAAAGACTGGTTAACCATTAACCATAATAACCTGGATGAAAAATTTTGAATACAATATGCAATCAGAAGATTGGGAAAGATTATGGACAAAAAATTATAAATTAACATTGGCAACCTCATATAAAGAAAATTTGTATAAAATGTTTTATCATTGCCATCCAGCACCGGTGAGATTGGCTAAAATTTATCCAAGCTTAAAATCAGAATGTTGGAAATGTAAAAAGAAACTCGGTACATTCTTTCACATGTGGTGGACCTGCCCAAAAGCGAAAGAATTCTGGAATAAGATAAAGATCTGGTTATAGGAAATAAGTCTAAGGATACCTGAAATGTTTTTACTAGGGATAACCACAGGAGAATATACAAAAGAGAATGAATGTTTAATGATACACATTTTAACAGAAGCTATGATACTATATGCTCAAAATTGGAAAATAGATAATATATCCACAGATGACATGATTATAAAAAAAAAGTAATGGATTGCGCAGAAATGAACAAATTCACAATGGAATTGCAGGAGAGGGAAGAAAAAGAATACTATATGGCCTGGGAAAAATGGTATGTCTGGTTAGACAATAGAAAGAAAATATAATGCAAAAGTAGAAGCTTTAAAGTGTAATTGTAAATAGTATGTTATGTACAGGAGAATGGTATAACTGATGTCACAAATAACTGCAAAAAATGTATATAGATATTGTTTTTAAAGATGAAAATTTAAGAAAATTTATTTTAAAAATAAAATAAAATAAAAAGACTGCTTAAACTGACCAGTTAACGGTCTAACAAGCACATCTAGAAGTTCCTTTAGAATTCTGGGATGAATACCATCAGGATCCATTGTTTTATTGTGTTTTACCTCCACCTCTAAAAACTTTGGGAAAGCAACTGCAAAGCTAGGAGTAGTATGATTCCCCCAATCAGATTTTGTTATTGGCATCTACTTGAGAAAATTGAGCAGAACAGATTAACAGAATTGGAAGGTACCTTGTAGGTCATCTAGTCCAACCCAACACCCAAGCAGGAGACCGTACACCATTTCTGACAAATGGCAGTCCAATCTCTTATTGAAAGTCTTTTTTTTTTCAAATAAGTTTTTTTTATTTTTCAATATAAACATACATACTTTGTGGGCATTGCATTGACTGGGTCAAGTCTTTCTAAGCAACAGTAACAATAATAATACAAATAAGTATGTGTAATTCTAATCTTCCAACTTCCACAACTTCAGCAATGCTAGTCTCTTTTCATAATCTATTTCTCATTTTTCCATTAGTTTGTTTAAATGTAAATAACATTTCTTTGCATCTTGTGTTTATAGTCCCTAAATACCATTATTGTTTTTAAGAGTTACACATAGTTCTACCATAACTTCAATATTCCAAATATGTAGGGTTAATAATAACGCCAAATATTGACAATATTTAATCAATCCTGGAAGTGCATCTCAAAATCCTACACAATTTCTAATCCTTAATATTTTAAAGTCATAATTATATATACTATTTTCCCTATACATATCTTCCCATTTTATTGATATGTTTTCTCATTACCCATCATCTCTTAACCTTTTTAAGATTCCATCATTTATTTATTTTTTAATCAACATTTTCTCTCTCTCTCTCTCTCTCTCGGTATCTTGTATCTCTTTTGGATTTTTTTTTGTACCTACTAAACTTCTCCTTCAGAGTACCTTTTGTCTCTTTCTTCTGTATTATTTGAATTCCCATCAACAAAACTTCTTTTGGGTTTTTTTTTAAAGAATTTTTTTCCATTTCTCTCTATTCTGTTATAAACTTTTAGGAGATTATATAATTGTCTTCTACTTATTAATCCTTTCTCCTCTTTATTGTTAACTTCTTGCATCTCATTTCGATTTTTTCTTTCCACTTCTTTTTCTAACTTCTCACTATTTCTTGAATATCATATTCTTCTTTTGCCCAATTGTTGGGTAGCTTCTACACCGATTTCTGTATCTTTAAACAATCCCCTCGTCTCCTTATTGTCTTTTATAGATTCACACATATCTTTTAACATAAACAACGATTCTTCATATAACTCTATTGTCTCTTGGAAATCCATTTTATAAAACCCCTTATTTTATGATTTGCAGCCTTATATTTTCCCAATTATTTATCTCCCAATTGTCCAAATTTTGAAGTCTTATTTAGCTGTCCTTTTTTCTTTTCTTCTGCTACTTTTCTTCTTTTATCTCATAGAATGTTCTGTTGAGTAACATTAATAATCCAAGTCCAAATCCAAATTAAGTTCAATAATCCAAGTCCACATTAGTCCACTAGATTCCTCCAATATTTCAAGTCCATAATCCAAGCTGGATTTAATAAAATGTAGTTATTTGCAAATTAGTTCCTTGTATAAATCTTCCAAAGAGCAGGAAAAAAGGCTCAATAAGTGTCTTCGAATTATCCAAGTAGTCAAACAGTAGAGTCAAGGTCAGGCCATCCTCCAGCTGTTATTGCTTCTGTTCTGTTCTGTGTACTAGGCTTTGTGTGTATTGAAATAACTTTCACTAAGTGCTGTGGTTATAATGCTGTAGTACTTCTCTTCTTCCAGTAGATGGCTCTCTTATCCCAAATCCAATTTAAATAGTCTGTCAAAAACAGCTGATTATCAGATTAAATCCAGGTAGTTTAAAGATACAAATAAACAAAGTAATTTCTCCTGGAGGTTGTTTTTCAAATTATTTGAGCTTTTTCCGAACTTTCTGTATTTTATTAGCTTCTCTTAGGCTTTTTTCACCTCTTTGTTCTCAGGGTTTTTTTCTCCATGTGTCAATTTGCTGCTTTCTTAAGCTTAGGAGTTATCTTTTAATATTCTTGTAGTTACTTCAAATCTTTAGAGTAAAAGTTGGTAGTTATTTCACCCAGCTCCAATGCTCTGTCCATACACCATTCCAGCACAAATCTTGCGGTCCCGGTTGTCCCAGCTTCGTGACTGCCAAAAAATGGCTGATGTCCCTGCTGCCATTCAGGGAGCCCTTGCTTTGGACCTAATGAGAAAATTGCGGGTTCCTTGTGAAGTGCCTCTCCTTCCTTCACTGCCCCTCCAAGGTAGCTATGACCCTGTAGGGTCTCCCGACAGCGGTTACTGGCTGGATTTTGCGGGGCTCAACAGAGCCTATCTTCCAGCCATTCTTGTCCTAACTATTTTTGTTCCCACCTTCCCCTCTTTTCTGCAACCATTAATAAAACTTATTCCAAGTATCATAATATTCTGATTCCCCCATATTTTTCAGT